TGATTTTTTCAAAAATGATAATAAAAAGCAAAATACTTTTTTGTGATAATCATTTTTGGGATGGTATAGATTTTGGCCGATATCTTCGAGACCAATAGGTCTTTCGCAGTGATTCTTGCAGAAATAAGATCTAAATATGTCTACAAACATATCCTATCATACATAATTCATTTTACATCTTTAGTATGATGGCTTTAGGCGTATATATTAGAAATTTGTCAAATTTGTATTGAGGCAAAATACTTATTACACTCACTGTATATATATAAAATTATGATGGATGTTTTTCAAAAATAATATGCTGATTCGTAATAAAATTTTGTTTTTGGCAACCAAAAAAATAAAAATACAATTAACTACAAGAACAAGAAGACAGACCCTAAGGCACATGCCCGTCACGGAAAACACTGCAGAAATCAATAATAACATTTATATTTAAAAAAGAAAATATTGAAAAAATTATTGATGACTGGATTTTGTGTTCTTGAGTTTTGCATTTCGATTTTTCATGACCATGAAATGGGAAATTTGAGGGAGAGGAAGGGGTTCTGTGGGGACTTAATGCAAATTATTGGCGCGCCATAAATGTAGACGAAAATGTTAATTAGTTCTCTCCCAGCTAGCCTTGTTGTTTTTGTTCTTATTCTTTTTTGTTCAAGTGTAATATCTTGTAGTGTTTTGTTGTTGTTTTTTTGTTGATATTCCACTTGATTTATAACTTATGATTTTTTTCATTCTTGTAGACAGTTATGATGATGGGGCAGTATTTGGGGGAATTCTGCAGAACATTTTATTTATCGGGGGGTTTTTTTTTTTTGAGAAAAAGAAGACGAGGGTTTTGAACTTGAATTTGTGTGACAACATGTGTTTGAGATTTTTTTTTCAAATAAGATTTTTATTATTATAGGATGTCATAAAGAATTGTTTTATTTTATTTTTGAAAATAAATAAAAAATTAAAAACGAGAGTATTCCACTTGGTGGGCAATTTGAGCCATAATGCTTCATGTTAGGGCCTGGTTGTCAATGGAAAAAATATTCTCCATCAAATTTTATTATAGGTCACCGAACAAAAAAAATCGGTATATATATAGTATATATCAAGAAAAAATCCAATTAGAATGAGATCATCAAAATATTAAGGCATTTTTGGATTAATTTCATATAACTTTCGATTCGATCCATAATTCATTATTTTAGGACCTGGGTGTTAATGGAAAAAATGTTCTACATAAAATTTCACTATAAGTCGCCGACCAACAAAAATCGGTATATTCAAAATGTTAGCAGAAAAAAAATCGAATAAAAATGTGAGCATAAAATATAAAACCATTTTTCATACAACTTTTGATTTTATGACCATTTGATCCATAATTCTTCATTTTAGAACTTGGGTGTCAATGGATATCTTATTCTCCATAAAATTTCACTATAGGTCGGGGAACAACAGAAATCGATACCTATAAGTTATATCAAGAAAAAATCCGATTTGATGGACATTTGACCCGTAATATTTCCTGTTAGAGCCTGGGTGCCAATGGAAAAAATATTCTCCATAAAATTACTACAGGTCTCTGAACAACAAAAATCGGTATATTCAAAATTTAACATGAAAAAATCCAATAAGAATGTGACCATAACATATAACGCCATTAACTTTCGACTGCATGGCCATTTTTATATTTTTGGGTACTGAGTGTGAATCTTATTCTCCATAAAATTCCACTATAGGTCGCTGACCAACAAAAATCGGTATATTCAAAATTTAACAAGTAAAAATCCAATAAGAATGTGAGCATAAAATATAAAGCCATTTTTCATACAACTTTTGACTTTATGACCATTTGACGCATTATTCTTCATTTTAGGCACTGGGTGTTAATGGAAATCTTTTTCTCCACAAAATTTTACTATAGGTCACCGAACAGAAGAAATCGGTATTTATAACTAATATCATGAAAAAATCCGCTAACAATTTGGTTATTACAAATATTATATTTTGGGGTTTCATTTTATACAACATTCGATTTAATGGTCATTAGACCCGTAATATTTCCTGTTAGAGCTTGGGTGTTAATGGAAAACATATTCTCCATAAAATTTCACTATTGGTCTCCGAACAAAAGAAATATATATATATATAAAAAATATGAAAAAATCCATTAAGAATGTGTCCTTAAAAATCAAAAGGGATTTTTGCTTAACTTCATACAAATTTTGACTCGATGATCATTTGACCTGCAATACTACATTTTAGGACGCGGGTATCAATGGAAAAAATATTCAACATAAAAATTCACTTTAGGTCTCCGAACAAAAGAAATCGGTATATATAACATATATAATGAAAAAAATTCACTAAAGACTTGGTCATAAACAATTAAATATTTTTGTGTAAATTTCCTATAGTTTTTAGTTTTATGGCAATTTGAGCCATAATACTCCACTTTAGGTCCAGGATGCCAATGGAAAATGTATTATCCATTAAATTTCACTATAGGTCTCCGAATAGAAGAAATCTGTAAATATAATATTTACCAAGAAAAAATTGCACAATAAATTGTCTATAAAAATAAGGGATTTTTTTATAATTTCATATAGTTTTTCATTTTTTGTTCAGGGTCTGGGTGTCAATGAAAAAAATATTTTCCGTCAAATTTCACTATAGGTCTCTGAACAACTCAAAAAAATTCCGCAATCTGAATTTCCATTTACCCTTACCCATCTACCTTGCCCTTACCAAAATATCAATGTCACCCAATTTACGTTGGCATTACCTCATATATTCCGGTTACCGTTTTTTTCTATACCAATTAATTTTATTCCATAGAATTTTTTATATACAAATCGAAACAAAACACATTGTGTGGAAACAATCATCATCATCAATTGTTTGCAGATATGTACAGGAAATTCTATTATTATTGTTCCCATGAAATTCTATGGAAAATCAGTTTTTTTCTTTTTTTCACAATAAAAAGGCGTTGAGAGGAAATAAATGTCAAAATATATAACAAAAAACAAATAATAATTTAAATGAATTTCAGTATGGGTTGTTATGGTAATTTTTTATTGTTGTTGCAAATTTATTAAAAAAATATAAAGAACAATGAGTGAGTGCCACGTGTGGCATCCATATAGAGAATATCACAATGAGAGAGTGAGATGTGAGGTTATGGTTGCTTGAACTTGGCCTTTTGTCCTTGAATAGTTCGGTTTTGAAGGATGATGTTAAGGGAGAATATGTTCCTTATAAAATTTCAATAGGAGTCGGGGAATACATGAAATTGGTAGCTATAATGGATATCAGGATATTATACGAAATATTATTATAAAATGAAGTAAATTACCTCAGGTATTAAATTAAAAAATTATAGTATAAAAGGCATTTTTCAAATAGTACCGGTAACTTCAGAATAACTCATTTTAGAGAGTAGTTCCCAACGGAAGAAATGTTCTAAACAAAATTTCACTATAAGTCCTCGTACGACAAAAATCTATAGCTTCAAGGAATACATACCGAAAATAACGGTAAACTTCAGTTATCGATGTTTTAATTCATTTAACCACATAATTCTCAATTTGAGGCAATTTCACCAACATAACCTCACTTTTGGGATTCTATATAAATGGAAGAAATATTCCTTATCATATTTCACTATAAGTCTTTGAACAAAAAAATAACGGTATATATTATAAAGATCATGATAAAACAGGCAATTATAATTTGTTTATAAAAATAATGCAAATTTTAGGTAATATTTCACATAGGTTTTGACATGAGGGTCATTTGATCCACAAAACTTCATTTTAGGAGCTGGGTGTAAGAGGAAAACTTGTTCTCCATAAAATTTCACTATAAGTTTTGGAACAAAAGAAATCGGTATATGTGATATATATCAAGAAAAATTTGTATTAAAGTAAATTATTTGGTTATTCAAAGAGAGTATACCACTCGATGCCAATTTAAACCATTATTTTTCAGGTCGATGGTCATTTGACCCACAATACTTCATGTGAGAGCCTGGGTGATAATGGAAAACTTATTCTCCATAAAATTTCACTATAGGTCTCCGAACAAAAGAAATCTATATATATAATATTTATCAAGAAAAAATTCAATTATAATTTAGTTATAAAAACTATTGGAATTTATTGATTTAATTTCCGATTTTTTTGTTTGATGGTCCTTTGACCTATTATTTTTCATTTTAGGACCTGGGCGTCAATGGAAAACTTATTCTCCATAAAATTTCACTATAAGTCTCCGAACAAAAGAAATCTGTATATATAATTTTTATTAAGAAACAAATTCAATTTTAATTTGGTTATAAAGACTATTGTAATTGTTTGATTTAATTTCCGACTGTTTTTAGTTTTTGTTAATTTGACCCATTTTTTCATTTTAGGGATCGGGTGTCAATGGAAAATTTGTTCTCCACAAAATTTCACTTTAGGTCTCCGAACAAAAGAAATCGGTATATATAATATTTATCAAGAAAAAAATTCAATTTAAATTTGGTTATAAAAATGATTGAATTTTTGTATTAAATTTGCGATTGTTTTTAGTTTGATGGTCATTTGACCCTTTATTTTTCATTTTACGGCCCGAGTGTCAATGGAAAATTTATTCTCCATAAAATTTTACTATAGATCGCCGAACAAAAGAAATCGATATGTATAATATTTATCAAGTAAAAACTTAAATTTTAATTTGGTTATAAAAAATATTGGAATTTTTTACGTAATTTCCGACTGTTTTTGGTTTTATGGTCATTTGACCCATTATTTCTGATATTTGGACCTTGTTGTCAATGGAAAATTTATTCTCCACAAAATTTCACTATAGGTCTCCAAACAGAATAAATCTGTAAATATAATATTTATTTTGTTATAAAAATAAGTCGATTTTTATTCACAATATAAAAGCTTTTATTTTTATTATTTATATTTATTGTTTTATATGTATACTAATTATTGTTATTTTTTCTTCTTTTTCAGACATGGTACTACTTTTCATGGGCTCAGCGAAAAAGTTATGCTTTCCTAAACACCAGGTTAGTCCAATAATATATGGCATTTTCCAATTTTTTTAATGTTTTTTTCTTCTCTCTTTCCTTTTCTCTTTCCAGCAAAACAACAATAACAATTTAACAACGTTTTATTCAACATAACAAAGAACTTTCGTTGAAATTGAAAACCCACTACTACTACTACGTTAAGCAAAAAAATCAATAACCAAAATCAGGAATCTTCGTAGAAAAAGTTCACCTTTTTTTGAGAGGAACATTTTTTTATCAGTTTATTTTTTAAATAGTGTAGAGTTTTCAGTTTTAAGTATTTAAAAAGAGATATTATTATTGTTAATTCCATTTATTTCCAAATCAACAAAAAGAAATCTAATTTATTTAGCATTCAACATAAAATTATTTAAAAATCCTAAAAAAAGAGGCTTTGTTACATACATATTTTACGTTAATCTCTATTTACCCCTAAGGTGGTAGATACAATTAACGTCCTATAAAAATTCTCATTTTGTATTTAAATTTAAAAAAAGTATTTGCTTTAAGTATTCTCAAAATTACCCTTTACTGGCTTTAGTACTTTAGCAATTTTGCGCCACTAAGATAAACCCGTAAACATGAGATTTACCAAAATGAAGTTTAAGCGCAAATTTGGTGGCTTAAATATTTGAAAACAAATGTTTATTTCTAAAACAATTGTATATTGTAAAAAAAACAAAACCAAAGCAAAAAACAGCCTTTCCCTTAAAAAAACCTCAAACACTCAAAAGAAAATTTCAATTCCCTACCACCACCAGCAACATTTATTGAAAGTTTGAAAGGATTTGTTTTTGCTTTACCATCACCACCAAATCAAATCACCACCCACTGATTTTTTCAAGTATTTTCCAAAAACAAACAAAAAAATATTTATAAGTTTGCATTTGTCTGTCCATCTCTCTGTCTGCCTGTCTCTCTATCTATTTGATTTTGTTTTTAAAACAAAATAAAAAAAATATTCCTTACGTTCATCGCTCATCCTCTCAAAAAATAGAAAGCCAAGCTTTATAATTTAAGTACGTACCCCCCACTCGTCGATATTCTTTTTGTTATTGTCATAATCGTTGTTGTTAATTTAAAACAAAAAACAAATAAACTCCGAAAAAACTACCTGAAAGCATTTCAAAGCCCCTCTCATCGAAAAAGAACAAGCGAACGTTTTCATTATGGAACCCTTTACACCGGAAGTCCTGTGGATTGTTATTGTCGGTTTTATCATTGCCTTTGTCTTGGCATTTGGTATTGGTGCCAATGATGTGGCCAATTCATTTGGCACCAGTGTTGGTTCGGGCGTTTTGACAATACGGCAAGCATGTGTTCTGGCCACGGTTTGTGAAATTTCGGGAGCTGTATTGATAGGTAAGTGCAACTATTTTTACCTTTCCTCATATCCTCATTTTCAAGAGCTTCAAGCACACTATTTTAAAAAGGAATTATCAGAATCTGAGAAAAACCTCCTCAATAGTTCGATTTTGACAGGGGGGATGTCAATGGGAAATGTGTTCCTTATAAAATTTCACTAGGGGTCAGGGAATAAATGATATCGATAGCTATAATGGATATCCGGATAATATTCGATTTAAAATGGGGTAATAATTTCAAATTTGTTACGATAAAAGGAATTTTCCAAATAGTACCGGTAACTTCAGAATAATTGTTGTAAGGGAATCCTTGCTAATGGAAAAAATCTTCTACACAAAATTTCACTATAAGTCCTCGGACAACAAAAATCTGTAGCTCCAAGGAATACATACCGAAAATAACGGTAAACTTCTGGTTATCGATATTTTAAATGAATTAATACTATTTTCGTATAGTTCTCAGCTTAATGGTAATTTCAGCCACTATACTTGATTTTAGGCCCTGGGTGTCAATGGAAAATTTGTTCCTCATCAAATTTCACAACAGGTCTCCGAGCAAAAGAAATCGCTATATATAATATATATCAATACAAAATTCAAAAATAAATTGATTATAAAAATAATGGAAATTTGTTGGTTTTTCGAAAATAATATTCGACTTAGTGCCCATTTGACCCATAATTCTTCATTTTAAGGCCTGCATGTGAGTGGAAAAATTGTTCTCCATCAAATTTCACTATAGATCTCCGAACAAAACTCATCGGATTTTTATAGCAGATACCGAGAAAAATGCAAAAACAAATTAGCCATAAAAACTATATAACAATTTTATATTTCTTCGTATAGTTCACAGCTTAATGGCCATTTGACCCATAAATCTTCATTTTAGGAATGGGGTGTCAATGGAAAAATTATTCCCCATAAAATTTCACTATAGGTCACCGAACAAAAGAAATCGGTATATGTAACCCATATCATGAAAATTACCTCTTACAATTTGGCTATAAATAGCAAAGAAATGATTTTTCTTCTATATTAAAATTTATTTCTCTTTTTATTTCTTCTTTTCCAGGCTACAAGGTTTCAGATACCATGCGAAAAGGCATACTCGAAGTTGAACTCTATGAAGGCTATGAAAATGAATTGATGTTGGGCTGTTTGGCCGCCCTGGCCAGTAGTGCCATTTGGCTGTTGGTGGCAACCTTTTTGAAATTACCCATTTCCGGTACACATAGTATTGTGGGCTCAACTATTGGCTTCTCGTTGGTAGCCAGAGGTACCCAGGGTTTGAAATGGTCAACCATGGGTACCATAGTTGGTTCGTGGTTCATATCGCCGGTCTTAAGTGGTTTAGTTAGTATTCTGTTGTTTTTGGCCATACGCAAGTTTATTTTGCGTGCCACTGAACCGCTTAAAGCCGGCTTCCGTTCGTTGCCCATATTCTATGGTGTGACATTTTTCATAAATGTCATCAGTGTTATGTTGGATGGACCAAAGTGTAAGTTGGACATTTTTGTTTGTCGAAGAAGAAGTGGATTGGGTTCCTAATGTGCCTCTCTCTTTATTGCAGTGCTTTATATGGATAATATACCCACCTGGATGGCTGTGACTGTTAGTGTGGCATTGGGCCTGTTGGTGGCCATATTGACGCATTTAGTGTTGGTGCCTATGCAGAAGCGAAAAATTGCTAAACAATTGCGTGCTAAAAATCCTGTCAAATTTCAATTTGAAGATTCTGTGGGTAAGTTGGTCGAGCCTTCTGCTTCGGATTATAAACATTGTATTAATATGTGTCTTATTTTTTTTGTAGAATCTTCGCCGTCCGGTAGCCCTAAGAAAAATCGTCGTCCTCTCAGTTTGGTGAGCGATGGCAAACAACTGCCTGCAATTGCCGAAATTACCGAGCTGGTCTCGTTGACAGACAATTCGCCAAAAACCTTTAAGCTAGCCCCCTTTAATTTGAATGGCACGAAAACGTTGAATGGCACCACACCCGATGGCTACAAAATCAATCCGGAAATAATTAAAAAGGCCGAAGACCTCTTGGGCAAAGCCAGTTTGGACAATACCGATTTGACTATAACCAGTTTGAATTTTATTGACGAGCAGGCCAATGGCAATGGAAATGGTCTGAACGGTTTAAATGGTCTACACAAAACGACGACGACACCCAAGGATAATTTGAATTCATTGGAAGCCTGCTTCAAGCCACCACAACAACAATCAGCTGCCACTGTACAACAACACCAAACAAATGAGCTTCCCAATATTAATGCCAATGTTGCAATTGCAAATAATAACACCAACCCAGCACCCACTTTAAATGTTTCCGATTCAATGGTAATTGGTGATGTGGATGAATGTGATAAGGCCACAACGGCATTGGTGGCACCCCACAACAACAGCATTGAATCGTCGAAAAATTTAAAAGTCATCGAAAGTGGCAGCAGTCTGGATATGATGATATCATCGACCCTCTCACCCAATTCCAGTAAAGTTCCTTTAATTGAAAGCAAAGAAGCGATAAATGATTTTAAAAATCCCTCAGCGGACCATAGTGGCGAGGAGACCGAAGAGGTGTCAATGCTGTTTTCGTTTTTACAAATTTTAACCGCTACCTTTGGTAGTTTTGCCCATGGTGGTAATGATGTGAGGTAAGGAGGAGAAATTAATTTATTTTTTTTTAATTAAAAAACAAATTGAGGTTATGTTTAGGACTGTGTAATCAAGAAATTTGAAGTTCTGGGAATTTCTTCTGTTAGATGATTTTAGTAAAATTTTGTGTAGAATATTTTCTACATTGTCATCATATTTCTAAGATAGGCTATTCTATGAAAATTGGCCCCTAACCTAAAAAAGAACAAAATAAACCAATCAGAAAATATTATTTTTTGTTCTAAATATAAATGATGATATTACATCGATATACATCATATTTACAGTTTTCATTACTTTGGAGACTTATAGTGAAATTTTGTGTAGAACATTTTCTCCATTGGCATCATATCTCTACGATAAGCTATTCTATGAAAATTCGTCCCTAACCTATAAAAGAACAAAATATAAACCATTCAAAAAATATTACTGTTTGTTCTAAATATAAATGATGACATTACATAATTAAATATTATATTTACAGTTTTCATTTCTTTGGAGACTTATAGTGAAATTTTGTGTAGAAAATGTTTTCCATTGACATCAAACTCCTAGGAGGTCTCTTTCAGAGACAATTTGAAATAAACAGAAAGCTTATTTATATTGAAATAATTTTTTTAATACTCCGATTTGTTTGGCTTATTTATTGAAAATTATTAAAGATACATATTTACCATTACTCAACGATTTTTAGAGAGTTTAGTGTAGAATATTTTTTCCATTGGCACCATCTAGGTGACGGGGACTTATAACCTCCCTTTTTTAGGTTAACATAAAAGTCACTCACTCTAATTTGTTTTTTTTTATTATCTTCCTTTACAGCAATGCCATTGGTCCCCTAATTGCTTTATATATGATTTATCGCGAAGGTTCTGTGATGCAAAAAGCCGAAAGTCCCATATATATTTTAATATATGGTGGTATTGGCATTTCTATTGGTCTCTGGCTATGGGGTCGTCGTGTCATTGAAACCATTGGCAATGATTTAACCAAAATTACCTCATCAACGTAAGTTTTTTTTTTATTCGAAGACAATTGAAGGACATAATTTTAATGTTTCCTCTCTTTTTCTTCCAGTGGTTTTACAATTGAAATTGGTGCTGCTATAACTGTACTGCTGGCCAGCAAAGTTGGTATACCAATTTCCACAACTCACTGTAAAGTGGGTTCTGTGGTATTTGTCGGTCATATCGCTTCGAAGGGAGCCAAAAAGGACAACAACAACAGCAGCAATAATGGTGAAAAGAATGCCAGCGAATTAACCAAAGATGATATGCAAGCTTTAGAAAATGGCCGAACACCTCAACAAACAGCCGAACCAGCAGCCCAATCGCATGGCAATGCCGATGGCAGTGTTGATTGGCATTTATTCCGTAATATTGCATATGCTTGGATTGTTACGGTACCCGTAACGGCGTTATTAAGTGCAGCAATTATGTTTATTTTATGTGTATCAACCGGTGTTTAAGATCGAAAACGAGAAGAAGAGGCGACCGGTCCATTACAAAAACAAAACAAAATGGTTTTTAAATTATTAATAGTACTTAGCAAGCAAACAAGAACAACAACAACAATAGTTTACAACAATAAGTTATATAAAAAAGAAAAGAAAAACAAAAACAACAACAATTTGTCAAAGCAGAGTAAATTTCCAAAAAAAATAAATACAACAACAAAAATAATATAACAGGCTGTAATTTTTTTATTTAAGTTTTATATCTTTTTAGTTTCTTAAAACACATTGTTTTTTCAAAACTCTACTCTGCTCTAAAAAATACTTTGTTTAATTTTTTAAAAGAGAAAAATCTAACGAACTATCACTATTTTTGTATAACAGTTTTGTATAACACTTTTTAAATACCAGCACCACACACAACCACCACACCTCCCTAGTAGGTATACATGTTTTATGTTGTATATATTTTGTTTATTATTACACACAATATTTAATTTTCCCCGTCAAATACAAATTTTTAGTTGCAAAAGAAAACCAGAAAAAAAATCTTTTTTTTTCTAATTTTATAAAATTTAAGGCATCCTGCAAAGCAAGTGCAAAAGCTATGGTGAGAGATAATTGTTCCAAAAAATTTAATACTTAACCATACTTTTTTGAAAGATATGGAATATCTTGGTATAATATTACAACTACAGTATTCTTTGGTTCGGAGACCCATAATGAAATTTGGTGTAGAATATTTCCTCCCTTGACAACAAACAACTAAAATTAAATTTTGGGGCCTAATAGAAACTACATTGAAATGTTACCAAAATGAATCCCAAATTGTGTCTTATTTTCTAAAACCAAATTTGTATACCACATATTTCTTGATAATTATTACAATTACAAGTTTCGTTGGTTCCGACACCCATAATAAAATTTAGTGTAGAATATTTCCACCATTGACATCAAGTCTCTAAAATGAGATATTCGGGGGTAAATAGTCCTCGATAGAAAAGTCTCCAAAATTAACCCAAAATTATGTCATATTTTCTAAAACCTATTTTGTATACCACATTTTTCTTGATATTCCTTTGAGCTATATTTTTCTTGTGTTCTGAGACCCTTGATGAAATTTGGTGTAGAATACATACTCCATTGACATAAAGTCTCTAAAATGAAAAATTTGCGATAAAAAGTTTTCAAACTGAAAAGTTACCAAAATAAATAGGAAAATATGTTAACCTTTTAAAATCCAATTTTTATACCCCATGTTTCTTGATATTTATCGAAGTTACAGTTTTCTTTTGTTCCGAAACCCTTATTGAAATTTGATGTAAAATATTTCTTCCATTGACACCAAGCCCCTAGAATGAAAAATTGGGGACAAAATAGACACCAAGCTGAAAATATACCAAAATTATTCGAAAAATGTGTATTATTTTTAAAACTAAATTTTTATACCTCCTTATCTTGTTATTTATTACAGTTACAGTTTTCATGTGTTTGGTGACCTAAAGTGAAATATTGTGTTGAACAGTTTTCCCATTAACATCGAGCTTCGAAAATAAATTTTAAGGGCTTAAAATGCCATAAAGTGGGAAAGAATATGAAATCAACACCAAAAGAGGTCATTACTATTTATAACTAAATTGTTAGGTTATATTTTCTCCAGAAATATTATAGCTACAGTTTTCTTTGGTTCGGAGACCCATTGTGAAATTTGATGTACAATATGTTCTCCATGAGCATCCATCTCCTAAAATGAGGTTTAAGGTCTCAAAATACAACAAAGAATGAAAGTGTATGCATTTTACCCACAACATTCTATTATTTCTTTGTAACCAATATGTTAAGGCAATTTTTTTATATAAAGTATAGCTACAGTTATAATTTTTTTGCGGAAGCCTGTAGTGAAATTTGATGCAGAATATTTATTCCATTGACACCAAGTCCCAAAAATGATTAACCCCAAAAACTGTGTCTTCATTTATAAACAAATTTGTATACACATTTTTTCTTGCTATAATATTAGAGTTGTTGTAATCTTTTGTTCGGAGACTTATAGTGAAATTCGATGTAGAACACATTCTCTATTGACACCATATCCCGAAAATGAATTATAAGGCATCAAAATGACATGAAGAAGAGTGATGTATAAAATATAACCAAAAAGTTTAATTTCTTTTATAACCAATTTTTTAGGGCTATTTTTCTTAATATCCATTATAGCTACAGCTTTCTTTTGCTCGATGACCTATAGTGAAATTTTCTATAGAATATTTTTTCCATTGTCACCAAGCTCCTAAAATAGGATATTTAGGGTTAAACGACTACGAATTGGAAAATGCCCAAAAATAACCAAACTTTTATTTTTTTTTTGTTTTTTTATAAACAATTTTGTTTACACATTTTTTCTTGATAATTAGTAAAGGTAATAAAATCTCTTATTCGGAGACCTATAGTAAAATTCTATGTAGAACACAGTCTCCATTGACACCATGTTCCGAAAATGAATTGTAAGGCATCAAAATGCCACGAAGAAGAATGATGTATAAAATATAACCAAAAAGTTTAATTTATTTTATAACCTATTTGTTATGGGTATTTTTCTTAATATACATTATAGCTACATCTTTCCTTTGCTCGATGACCTATAATGAAATTTTCTATAGAATATTTTTTTCATAGACACCAAGCACCAAAAATGGGGTATTCAGGGTTAAATCACGACGAATTCGAAAATGTCCAAAAATTAATTAAATATTTTTTTCTTTTTTATAAAGAAATTTGTTTACACATTTTTTCTTGATAAATATTAAAGATAATAAAATCTTTTATTCCGAGACCTATAATGAAATTTTCTATAGAATATTTTTTCCATTGACTCCAAGTTTCTAAAATGAAGTTTTTTAGTGTAAATGGCCCTTAAGTCGAAAATAGTCAAAAATGGGTCTTTTTTTGTAACTAATTTTAAATACCCATTTTTTCTTAATATAAATTAAATTTATAAAAATTGTATGTTCAGTGACCTTTAGTAAAATTCGATGTAAAATATTTTTTCCTTTGGTATCAAGTCCCTAAAATACAGTTTTGTGGGTCAAATGGCCATCAAAGAAAAAGTTCCATTATTTTTTTATCTCTCAAAAAAACCCTATCTTCACTACTTGCTAATAACAAAACTATTTCAAGGTTTGAATTCCAAAATATTTTAAATAAATATAAACTCCCCTCCACCTTCTAACACCAAAAATTCTCACACTTCTTAAAATCAAAAAATAATAACAAGGAAACAATTTGGTCTTTTTTTTTCGTCAATACAATCCACAACAATAACAAATATTTAACACCTAATAAACAACAACAACAAAAATACTGTCATAAATAGTTAAGTTAAACGAAAAAACAAAACATTTTTTTTGGTTCGAAATAAAACAAAGCATTTCATTTATAAAAAAAAAATTAAACAAAACGAACAACAAAAACAAGCAATAGCATTTTTTTCTTGGTTTTAAATGTGAAAAATGAAAGAGATGAAAATATGAAAAAAACTTAGCTTAGCTTTAAAACAAAAAATAACTGGGTGTAATTCTTCGATCAGTTCCACGAGTTTCGATATTGTATAATTTATTTACTTCTTTTCAAAATCTTAAAAAAATTAATTTCTGATTTTCAAATGATTGTGAAGTGACTTATAAAATTGTGTTGAGATTTTTTTTGAAGATTTATCCTTTAAGGTATAAAATTATTTGCCAAAAATATTTCAAAATTTTTATTGAAAATTGTCAATTGTTTTGTCACTGTCATAATTGTATTTTTTTTAATTTTCAAATCAATAATTTCAATTTATCGTTTCTTTAATTCTACAATAAACTACAAAAAATTGAAAATAATATGAAATGAAATAATGAAAAAAGAAAAAAAAAAACTGAAAATAATTGATATTATCGCATAAGTGATTGCATACAATTAAATGGTTAATTAATATTATTAAATAATTGTATTGTATTAATTAACTATCATTATTATTATGATTATATACAAAGAAACAAATAAATAATAAATAAACACACCTATTAAACAATGATCTTAAAAGTTGAAGAAGAAGAACGAAACGATAATCTCAAGTAAAAATCATAAAACCACAAGAAACCTATGTAAAAATATTAAATAACTGTTTATTAAAATGAAAAGTAATTTTGAAATGTGTATTTGAAAAAAAAAGAAATGTGAAAACGAAAAGACAAAAAATAAACTATAAAAAAAGAAGAAAATAAAATACAAAACAAAAGAAAAGAGGAGTTCAACAAAAGGACTCCAAGAAAACAAAGAAGCAAAAATGGACTTTTTTTAATATAACGATTTTGGTATTAATATTTGAGTGATAAATATTACAGTTAGAGATTTCCTTTGTTCGGTGACCTATACTGAAATTTTCTGTAGAATATATTCACCATTGACACCAAGTCCCAAAACCGAGGTATAAGGGCTCAAAATGCCTCGAAGTTAAAACTGTGGACAGAAATTAACCAAAAAATCCATTATTTTTATAACTAAATTGTTATGGATATTTTTTTGGTTAAAAAAACTATACCTATAGTTTTCTTTGATTCGGAGACCGATATTGAAATTTTCAGTAGAATATATTTCCCATTTACACCTAGATCCAAAAATGACGATTAAGGTCTCAAAATGGCACAAAGTTGAAAAATGTTCCAAAATGAATGAAAATTGTTGTCTTTTTTATTATCAAATTATTAGACCATTTTCTTGTAAAATATTAATAGCTACAAAAATCTTTTGTTCAGTGACCCTCTATGAATTTTTCTGTAGAATATTTTTTCCTTTGACATCAAGCCCCTAAAATGGGGTATTGTGGTTAAAACGGGCACCAAATCGAAAAAGGGCCGAAAATTAGGCAAACAACTTGTTTTCTTTCATATGTAACAGAATTGTTCGGAAATTTCTCAGGATATATATAATAGCTATATATTTATTTTTGTTCGGCAACCTACAGTGAAATTTTCTGTA